TCATCTGGACTGCTTCTCAAAATTGTAACTTGACCACATTTTGCCTTCTAAGAAACTGCCATAGGTGCTCAAAAGTGGTAAAAGTGCCACATTTGTTTGCTTTTCAGGCAATTGACGGAGAAAAACATGTTATGATCTCATTATTTCTGAGCTTTTATTGTGGCACTTACGGTTTTCAACATGTGGCTAAATTTTCCTATTACACACCTTCTTGTAAGACCTGGCTGGTTATAATGATAACACCCACCTTCATTTTGACACTTCCATGCCTGGATTAATTTGAAATGCGCTCCTCTGGTATTTCCACAAATTTGATTTGGCAGAATCAGGACAGACTGGGACTCCAAGTGTACTCCCAAGCTGTAAATTGGCTGGCATTTATTTAATTACATCCCTGTTGGTTACCTGTGAGTGTAGACATGTGCAGTTTTACCATCACAACTCACAGAGCAGTGTTGCATGAAAAGGACGACTGACTATGTTTACAGTAAAAAAAAAAAAAAAAGACGGACAAAAGTTTTTAAAAAAGAACATATAGATCAGTTAACAAATAATGAATGCCTCATCATAGTAGTAGTAGGAAAAAAGAGCCTTACAGAGACGACATAAGAATATAAATGCAACGCAAATATTGATATTTAAGACAATTATTCAAGGATATCTTCTGGGTCCAACAGTTTAAAAAGTTGCAACATTCTATGAGAGAAAAGAAGTATTGAATTCCATCTGCTTTTTCATCGTGAAGTACTCTGTTGCTGTCCTGTGGAATTACCTTTTTGTGGACAGATATGCAAAAGACAAAGAGAGAAACCTCCACGCAAAAGAAAAAGAGGTACAGAATTTGTAATGGAACAAATCCATTCACGTCTCAAGTATTTCTGAGATGTCTGTCACCTAAAATTAGGTGAGTGAGCAGACAGACATGTTAGTCGTGGGTATATATGGAAACGTGCTGCATGCAACGAGACATCTCTCAGTAAGCGTTTAAAAAGGAGATAAATTGCATAATTAATCTCTGTATTCCAGATGTCAAATTTGTCAGAAAGGATCCTTTACCTGCTTTCATGCATAGTTCAAGACATCCCCCATATTGTACTAATTCCATCACTCATTACCTTGGATTTGCAACATAACGGAAAAGTGAATTATAGTCTCCTCTAAACCTCATAAAATGTAGAGCCTAATCCTCACAGTCATGGCATGAAAAATGAAATCCTGTTTGCCTGGTTTTACATCAGACTTCTATTATTTCATGTCTGAATAACAGTCTTTTCTTGTTGCCTAATATCAGATAATCGGGGTAATTTTCCCACTCTTGGATCCGTACAGGCAGGCTTTGCAGTAATTTTCTAATACGAGGGCTGTAATCATGCTGTCAGACCTGTCTCGCGCTAAAGAAAGCTTCTGTGTGCAATGCAAGACCTGCAGGCACCCCTGCCAGATAATTGAGGGCAGTGAAAGGTGGCAGCAATGCTTTTTGATTGAAGATTTAATGTTACTTTCCATCCTAGAGGAGGATGTCGGTTATCGACCGCCTATAAAGACTACAGGGCCCGGAGCCGGGATCTCAGGCTATTGATCTGAAAGGAAAACGGAGTGGTAAAACGGACATGTCCAGGTGCTTCTGTGGGATGGGTCAGCAAGGTCACCCGGGCCAAGCCATGCCAGGCTGGGCTGCGCAATCATGTTGTGTATATTTGATATGCAAAAACAAATGAATTGATTTTCAGCTGAGGCATCAGGATACAGAGAGTGTAAGGCAAAATGTCATTCAGAGAGGGAATCTATGAAGGAAAGGAGGATTGGATTTCAAATGCTCTCTTTCTGTTGGATGAGATACGAGTCCAGGTGTCCAGGAGTGTCGAGGAGGAAGGACCTCAATATCCCTAACAATTTCATTAAGCTTCACTTTCCAGTTTTTCCCATCTTAATCTTGAGAGTCAAGAGCGTAATGCTGTTTTTATGAGTTTCTAGAAACCTATTAACAGACATGTCGGATAACAAGTAGACAGAGGTTTTGAAGCCCTGAGATTTGTTTTTAATGCATGGCAGACGTTTTTTTTTTAAAGTCGCTGCTTGTCCATATGCAACAGCTAACGACAGTGAAGGAACAGGGAGGATACACTGTGTTTCTCACACTGTCTAATTAGGTCATTGTTACATGCATTGCTGTGTATGGAACAAAATGACCGAGTACTGACACAGCTTTTTCCTTGGAACTTGTGCTAGAGGACACTCGTTGCCCCCAAGAGAGAAGCAGGTCTTCATCTATCATCACACGAGCTGTTTTGGGGGTTGCAGTTATCCAGTGCCCAATCCGGACTTCTTACAGATGCAGTATGAGAACACTGCAGAAATCCGTAAGCTAAATTTAGTGCTCCCTATGCCATGGTTCTTTCCTTGAGATTCTCTCAAGAGGATGAAGCACATAATAAAATGTCATTTCACTTTTACCCTTCCCCTGTGTGGGGTGGCTATGGGTGCAGGCAATCCGCTTTAAATGAATGCTCAGTCAAGCATCTGTATATGGAATTTAAGACGTGTCTGACTTGAGTAATGTAGGAATATTGTACCGTCAAAAAGACATTCCACATTCACAACTTTATTGAAAACTTCAGCTTTTTAGTATGTGACCATATCAGGATAGCACGTCCCCTGTTTAGGACTTAGGAAGTGCCAAAGAAAGAGAACCTTGTTTTTTACTAAATCCCTCAGTGACTCAAAAACAGCTGTGCCAGATAAATGGAAGGGTTACATGTGCAAAAGGTGAATAGATTTTATCCGAGACAGGAACATATGTCATTGTCAGCCTACTGGAAAAAGAGCTATCTCTGAAACTTAATTGCAGGCAGGATGTTCCAGATGTGCTACAAAAGCACAAAGAAAAAAGGGTGATTGAAAACCCAGTGGTGAGTCAAGGAGACGGCAAACAGCAGACAAAAAACACAATGTTCAGTTGTCCCATCAAATCCACAGTCCTGAGTAGTAACAACCGGTCCTATGGACTGATGAGCACAAGGGCATTTCAATACCGAATAATAGAAAAAAATTAATAGTAATAGTAAAAAATAATTATGTCAAAAGGTCATTTTGTGGCAGTGCAATGCGGCTTTTCTTGGAACCCAAAAATATACCAGGAGACAGAATATCCATCCATCCATCCATCCATCCATCCATCCATCCATCCATCCATC